TCTGGCCACCGAATGTTTCACGTAGTACCAGTTTCTGTCGATCCTCTTTACCTCAGCACTTCTACTTAGTAGCAACTAGTGGTCGTAGGTTCTATGTATCTCTGCACAAATCCGGAGCCTGCCAAGTGTAACCCTCTTGCATCCCCAACATTCATTCTTTATGGCCGTCTGTGTCACATTCATTTGTGACCGTTGACTTATTCTGGGACACTTTAGGTATCCACTAGTCACTAGAAGCCTACACCCCAATGCCACTGCTAGTTGCGGATACTCGCTATCTCACCTTGTATCATTATCATTTCCTCGTATTACGTATGTCACCACTTTTCAGCTGCAGCCAGTCATAGTAGTTAGCATACATGTCTACGCTAGTAGCCACTCTGTATCTCTCCCACTTACTCTCTTGAATTGTTAGCATCACATTCCTTCACTGGTTTGCTGACTTCTTCTGTCACTGTATCTAATAGATAACTAGAAGGTTCAACGGAATTCAGATGCTGTCCGCCGGTTCTCTCCCTTAACACAATTACCCTTCGTTCTTCTTATCTTCGTTACGTTTATTGCAGATATTCATTGTAGGCTCCACACATCTTTGAGCTTATCTGGAGATACTAGGAGACATTCCTCGTTTCTCCATCCTGTAATCCAGATTGTCTGTATCACTTACCATCGCTGGCTTGTTGATGTGTTCTGTGACACTGTAGCAATCCACTTGTAACCAAATAGCCTAATGGACTGGCTACATCAGGCCACCGAAAGTTTCTCGCAGCGCCATGTTCTGTCCATCCTCTTAAACCTAAGCACTTCTGCTTAGCAGCAACTAGTAATCGTAGGCTCCACGCATTTCTGGAGCTTGCTAAGAGCTGCTCGCTTCTATCTCGAACATACTTTGTGGCTGTCTGCGTCACATACATCCGCTTTTTGCTGATTTACTATGGGTAATTAAGGGCATACACTAGCAACTAAGAGGCTTCATGCAAATTCCATTGCTGATCACTGATATTCACACTTACAGCGACCCTAACTGTTCCTCGTCTTACCTCTGGCTCCCGTGTTTAGCAGCAGTCCTTCTTCATAAGCTACTATCATATTTGTGCATATCCTGAGCTGCCAAGGTCCACACTTTTTCCCTCCATGCTTTAATCCCTGGGACTGCGTGCATCACATACACTTGTTGTCTGTTGCCCTAATCAAGTGTCCACTAGCAATTTTAAGGCCACACGTACATGCCATTGCTCATCCGCGACACCTAATTGGCCGTAGTACAGCTCTCTCACGGGCTTCTCCCGACTCAGGCCTCCTTAATTATACTCCATTAACACCACCGCATGATTTGATTAGCTGCACGTCGATGCGTCGTAGTCTATTATGCTCTAACTATCTAACAACCTCGTTGTATGCTTGCGCTTTACTTGTCCGCTGCCATTCTACCACGAAACCACTCTTAGTTTTCTTCTGTCGTGCAAACATATCCAGATATTCAGCATAAGCCGCTCTTCTGCCACACATTTCTAGACCTTTATCTACCCACTACTTGCTGTATTGTCTTAGGCATTTTTTACCTGCAATACTCCAAGTCTCGGGCTAGCAGTCCATGCCTCTATCCAGCTAGGCACTATTACCCTAGCACTCTGGCTGCTGCGGTTAGGTCTCAGGTTCTGATGTCCACAGCAACCTTAATGTACGCATATATTCTGGCTATTCGCGATCCTTCCGTCAATTAGCCCTTCTTAGCTTTTTAATTCGGCACTCTCTCACCTGGTCAGTACAGAGACGCCCCTTAGCTTCTCATTTAAAGGTGTTCATTCCTCAATTATTCGCTGCTATTTTTGCGAAACTTACCCATGTATGAGTCCAAAAGACTCACTGGCTTTCCCTGGGTCAGCATATTCTACGCTCCCCAGCGAAACTTCCCACGCAACAGTTGCATCATAGCAAACGGATCCTGTGTTTTCTTTGCTTAACGGCGCAACGCTCTGCATCCAAGGTATACGGTAGCAACCAACCTATAGGGCTTTGCTTCCGATGAATATTCAAAAGACACTTTTAGCATAATCATTGTTACACATTGTACATCATATGTTTCCTCTAAACGTTAGACCATAGTACGTAAATAATGCTTGTTTCCACGTCTGTTCTTTGCGGCCGTGTTTGTCTCTCACCTTCCCTTTCTCCGAGGTCTGGAACTTCTTGGAGATCTGGGATCGGAAAGTGAAAGAGCGTGCTCCTGGGACAGGACATAGAAACCCCCAAGGACCTACATAGAACACGGCTGTACAACAAGTGGATAAAAATGCACTCACTACCATGACCGTCGTCCAGTAATGGTAGCTGGACATGACGCCTTTATACTCCTGCGAAGTATACATAATCCTGTAAATTCTAGAAGCAAGAAACGGAAGTTTTGCTCACCTGGACAAGAAGATGACGATGGTCTAACCCTCCATAGGGTAGCCACGTAGTGGCGACCATGAAACTGCAAGAAATGTGGGCAATAAAAAAATAAGTGGCATCAATTTTACGGCATAAAATACGACTATGTCTGGTATTTTCCAAAAAACCGCTGTTATCTCTGCACATGACCTTAGTTGCTACTTTAAGTGAGGTCTAATGAAATCGGTCGTATTTGGCTGTTATTTCGAATTGCAACCATGGAGGTTGACTTCAGACGCACCTTCGTTGGACGTTCGTTTCAAAGCTTTGATGAATTCTATTCCCTATTTACCTCATTTATGCATCGGAACAACGTCAATTTTGTTTGCTGTAGCAGCAGAAGAAGCAAGTATCATAGCGTGAGGTATGTTCGCATCGTTTATCAATGCGTGCGCAGTAAGCGCCGCAAAACAAGGAGCAAAGGAATACGACGAGTCTAGTATGTGGTTTATAATGTCGTTAACCTTCTAATTTAGATCTCGGGACACCGATTGCAGTGCTCGTGTCAATGTTGCTCGGGATGGACGTAAGCTGAAAGTGCTAACGTTCCAGCTCTTCCACAACCATCCATGCAACCGGTTTCTTTTCGAAAGGCACCCTATAAACCGGCGACTTACTGAGGAGGAATGTAATCAAGCTGCTGATTTATTTCGATACAACACCCCAACGTCCGAAATAAAGCAGTACATCGAGAATGCATTCGGGAAACACGTCACAAGCGACGACGTCCGTAATGTACGCCGCAGGTTGCGTTCGCCCGTGTCATGTAGGTGAAATGTCACGTTATTATTGCTAGTCAATTTGCGGCAGGCCCTGCAGAGCATGGAACAGGATGGTTTCGTGGAAACCATATCTGAAGATGGCTTACTTACGCATGTGTGCTTTGCTCGTAATCAGCAAGTGCAAATGTTTCGGCGATTTCCACACGTTGTGTGCGTGGACGCAACGCATGGTACAAACCGCCTGGGGTACGTATGACATTCGTCGTTAAATTTCGATACAGTTTCAAGTTGTACCAGTTCTTGGTAACCGACGGCATGGGTTACGGACGACCAGTTTTTTATGGGTTTGTGCGTAAGGAAACGTTCACATCGCTAGTGAAATTGTTCGGTTTATTTCGTGATGCAATGGGCCATGACTTCTCCGTACGAACTTTCGTTATGGATAAAATGGCTGCTCAAATGCGCGCAGCACAAGCAGTATTTCAGTGTGACATTCTGCTGTGCTACTTTCATATCCGCGAGGCCGTTCGAAAGCACGTGAGTTACGGGAGTTGTTTTATTCCGATCTGTAGACCAATAGCTTTCGCTCACGTTATTTATTTCACCGGATGGCTACAATTGATACGGAGACCGAGTATGCTACTTTCCCAACATTTACACTGCTCTAGGTTCCAGCAGGATCTTTGCCTACTTCAGAAGATGGATCCTCAGTTTGTACGGTATCTAACCTCCCACTGGATGTTCATCAAGCGGTCGTGGGCGAACTACGCTCAAGCAGGATTAGTGCATTTCGGGAACACCACGAACAACCGTGTCGAGAATGCGAATCTTAGATTAAAGAAAATAACCCATGCTTCCGACCGCCTTGCTGTGGCTGTGAGTAAAGTGTGGAAGCTGTCTGAGGTTCTGCTGAAAGAATTTCAGATGCAGTGTACATACTTCTGTGACAGACACCAGGTGTTTGAAGATGAAGGTAACACCTACGTGCAGATGCTGATATGCCGTCTAACAACCTACGCTGGTACCCTGGTTATGCGTCATCTGGCAACACCGAAGTTAGGTGCGGTGTACTCAGACATTGGAGCGGGACTGGTATGCCCTCTTTTATGTTTCTACTTTTACAGTTTGTTGTTCAAGATCAACACCATCGATATGACATCGACTGCGCAAATGGCACGTGCACTTGCGCATTTTACGGGCACATGTGGCTACCGTGCGTCCATTTACTGATGTTATATAAGGAGAATCAACATCCGGCGGGTAAAACAGCGATTATGTTTCATTACCTTTTTAGAAAACATACCTATCCGTAGTCGGTGGTTAGCGAAGTACAACATGCCGGAGGATTCCATGTTGCTTCGGACTCTGAAGGTAGCCACCTCAAGGCAGCCCAATTCCAACGTAGCAAAACTGCTTGCTCGGCTTAAATGCCTGGAAGACGTGAACCCCAGTGCAGTATCCGGGTTCATCGATAGCCTCATTCAACAAACTGATGACCTTATAGACGTAGCACCAGGTGCGCGCGTCGTAAGTGATAAGCCACACTGCCAACCTCCGCGTAAGCAACCGCGTTGGCACAAAGCCGGTACGTTGACTACATTTTGCTTCGCTTGCGGTGAACCGGTTGCAGGTACGGGCGTGCATTGTGTGCACAACCGGCTACTGTACCACCGTAAATGCTTGGTGGAGAACAAAACCGACGGTTGCAAAGTTTGCTCCAGTGACCTAGCAGCAGTTACATTTCCCAAAAAGCCGTCACACAGCAGTAACATACGTGAGTTGGAATCAAGTAATCTAGTTTTAGCTTCACGCCGTACACCATCTCCGAATATCACGATATCATCTACCCCATCTACTTCCCCGGCTTACGAAGGCAAGTGCTTTTAAATAGCTTTTCACCTCCGCTCAGACACTTCGGATGGTTGTGACGCGGTACCCTGTTGCAGCTATGCTTATGTGTCACATAGTACTTTGAACGCACCCGCTATGCCTATGCGCTTACAAAATGAGACGAACACTTCGGCTGAGTTGCAGCCTATCTGCAAACCTGCGTTTGAGTATGTCATAATATATTGTTACCTGCATCCTCCTCAGTGTAGATCTGGATTCCACTGCAAATGAACCCTTTGCTGGAAAAACACCTGTTTTAAGAAGCACTTTCATGATCTGCTTGCCAGACAGTAAGTTCTTTGCCATTGTCATTAAACCACTGCAGCCGATGATTACGACTTTGCCTAACTGCTTAAAGGCCAGCCTGTGAGAACGCAAACTTGGCCCTTTTTAGGGCCACCTCCTGTTTCGTTTCCGTGTGCTTCCCTCTTGCCAACCCGACGCAACTGCTCGGTTGACGGCATTGATTGGAACATTCGGTAAATGAATCGGACGGTGGCTCTGTAATCCTCGCAGGAATGGCCCAATTGATGTGTAACTAGGACTACAAGCCCATGCATTCCTTGTTCGCCATGCTTTCCTTTAGATACATTACATTTACCCCACTCCTTAGTGATCCGCTGTGTTGACGTGACGCATATGACGTGTCCGGCACATTTGCGTGAGCACTTTGAATGGGTCTGAACAACAACGTTCCCGGAAATGTTATCTGTGGCCATAGGTTTCTTGATAATTCGGTTATCATTTGCATGTAACCATATCCGCATCGTCCCAGTGCTGTTAAAAAGCTAGCTATTGGTGCCTACTGATGGGCACTTTTGGTGCTCTTGCAATGAGCTTTTGTCCCCCGTCTGGACGGGTAGACGAAGACATATGTAGGCTACTGCATCACTAGTGCACTAGTGCTAATGATATGTCTTGAGGCTCCAAGACCTACCTTCTTGGTGATATTGCTAAGAGACCTATGTAGGCTACTGTATCACCAGTGCAGCAGGTCTGTGCTGATATGTATAGAGGCTCCGAGACGTACGCCATTGCTGCTAGTGCTAAGTGAGCTTTCTAGGCTATTTTATGGCCAATGCAACAGGCCTCTAATGATATGTCTTGAGGCTCCAAGACCTACCTTCTTGGTGATATTGCTAAGAGACCTATGTAGGCTACTGTATCACCAGTGCAGCAGGTCTGTGCTGATATGTATAGAGACTCCGAGACCTACGCCATGCTGCTAGTGCTAAGAGACCTATGTAGGCTACTGTATCACCAGTGCAGCAGGTCTGTGCTGATATGTATAGAGGCTCCGAGACCTACGCCAACAGGCCTCTAATGATATGTCTTGATATGTGTTTCAGAAATCACTTGACACCTGTACATTACCTTCGGAATGGAAGGAGGCTGTCATCTGTCCTATCTTCAAAAACGGCGACAGGAGTCTGTCAGCCAATTATAGGCCAGTTAGTCTGACTAGCGTCGTGGTCAAACTGCTTGAAAAGCTGGTGAGAGATTCGTTGGAATGTCACACGAATAGATTTAATCTGCTCAGCAGTGCACAACATGGATTCCGGAAGGGGTTTTCGTGTTTGACGAATTTGTTGGTTGCTCGTGAAGCTTGGGCCGAGGCAGTGGACAATGGCCACGTAGTGGATGTGCTTTTCGTAGACTTCTCGAAAGCATTTGATAAGGTACCCCACTTGAGGCTATCACATAAGCTGAGGTCCTACGGCGTATCTTGCCGCGCCCTTCACTGGGTATCTGCGTTTTTGCAGGGAAAAGAGCAGTGTGTACGTGTGCGTCGGTCCTTGGACCGATGCTGTTCTCCATCTACGTAAACGATCTCCCTGGAGAGCTTGGGGTATCATCCTTATTGTTTGCTGATGACCTTAAGCTATGGAATGTTGTAAATGTTCCTGAGGGTTCTGACGCCATACAGCATGCACTGGACAGACTCTGGGAGTGGTCTACTTTGTGGCTACTGCCCATAAATCAGACTAAGTGTTCCGTCCTTCGTATAGGATCAACTTCCCGCCTTCGAGCTACGTACTCGGTGGGGTCGAACTCCCCCTTGTCTCCAGCCAGCTAGACCTAGGTGTCATCCATTCCTCGTCTTTGCATTCTGGTGACAACTGGAAGAAGGCCGCTAGTAGGGGTTTCAGAATGTTATGGTTAATACGCCGTTCTTTCGGGGTCTTAACTGCCGACATATTTGTGAAGCTATTCTCAGCTTTCGTTCGGCCCCATCTGGAATACTGCGTCCAGGCTTGCGCGCCCTGCCTTGTTCGGGACAAAATGGAGCTTGAGAGCGTTTCGAGAGTAGGTACCAAATTGCTCGAGGGGTTACGGGGGCAAACGTATTCAATGCACTACCGACGGCTTCGAGGAGACCTAATCCTTACTTACCGCATTTTAACAGGGAAGGTTGGGCCGGACTTGCGCTGGCTATTTAGCCCGGCTAGGTTGCCTTGTCTTCGCGGTCAACCCATGAAGCTACACAAGCCGCGTTCTGACGGGATCAGGGCGGAAACTCCGTTATCGCGTACAGTTATCGAGCGCTGGAACTCGCTTCCGGAAAATGTAGTCAGTGAACCTACGGTTAAGGGTTTCGAGCGTCAGTTAGACGCTCTTGGGTGACAACACGAAACTTTGCCTTCTCCTGACCATATCCATCTTCAAACTTTCAGTTCCTATTCTGTCGTTATCTTCACTCTTTGGTGTTATCCTTCGTTTTAATGACTTTCATTTCCCTTTATCTTCCATTTACTTTCCATTTCTTTTTCACTTCACGTAACCTACACAGCGCGGACTGCTAGTGCAGGGAACGTGGGCAGTAGTTGGTTGATCAGGGTGTGTTTCGGATGTTTCGTTTTACATCTATCAAGAACTAACACCTTATCATTTCCTGGCTCAACGATTTGCTCAAGAAGGAACACTCAAGGGATTTTCCTATCGTTCCAGTCCATCTGAATCTTAATCTGAATCGTACCGGTAAATACCTGCTCACGAAGCTCTCTAAGTGCTGCCGAATTTACCAGACGGCTTCATCAACAAAACCTACGGAACCTACCAGGCGGTTAGTAATAAATGTAAGCTAAATATCAGCATGGCTCGTCTTTAATTAAGGTTGAAATCGTAGGGGATATCTGTATCCTAGCAATTCATTCGATACCAGTGCTTAGTACTGTGGTACTGTGTTGCATAGATTAGCATCCCTTAATGAGAGTTGTTTACCAAACCTACTTCTCCCACGTTGTATATCTATTTCATTAGCAACTACCTCAATTTCAAGTTCAAGTGGGACTGGAACAATAGGATAAATCCCGTAAGTGGACAGCCTCAATTACATTTACATTTACAGATAGCTCGATGTATTCCGCTCACGGCGACGGTTAATTTTCTGTCAGTGCAATTAAGCCTTGAGTTCACTGAATTGTAGATAGCAGAAGAGAGGCCCCGTGAAATCTTCTTCACTTCGTCGTGAACCGATTTATCTAACGGTGTCTAGACAGCTGCTGTATTACTTTCATTACTTAACATTTTACTGTAACCTGATAACTTCTATAACCCTTTTAGGCATCATAATACAACCACAGAGCTTTCCAGAATATCGATCAGAACCTTCTCAATGCGAAACGGATCCCACCAGTGCAACAATCATTTTGACTGTCAATAAGATATTCACAGCTGCCAGAGATATACCAGCTTATGGCATCCTTTTCCAAAGAAGGAACAATGATATTGTGTGATTTCTACCTACCAGATAGTAACTCAACGTCCTTCTCCTTTGTTGACATCGTTCATTTTTGTGCCAACGGTTACCAATAGTAAACGTCATATTGGATCATTCAAACACACATTTTTAGGTGAAGCTGACTAGAAAATACGCATCTCCACGCAATTCTATACACGTCCATGCAGCCAATCGTATAGCTTCGCCATCTTGAATTCACACCGTTTGTCTTGCCACTAGTGGCCAGCCTCCATAGGCCTCAGCCGTTATGGCCGCCGCGAGCAAAAATAACCTGTTCAGCTAACAGAGGAAATTAGAAGGCAATTGACGGCGGTTAACCGAGTGTTAAATCAGTCGGCGAGCTGCTCTGCCAGTTTTACATTAGTGTACAAACGGATTTCTGACAGTGTTTCAGGACGTGGTGGGTTTTCGCCTGGCAAGCGTTCTCCCTATAAAAAGCCACAAGTGTCCGCTTAACAACACTGCGACGTGGCGGATGTGACTCGCCACTGAGTAAAGTCACTGCCCACAACTACATACTGGCAAGCCGACCTGAATCCTAATGTAATATTTTCCTGACAAGTTTTCTCTACAAACGGAATGCCCAGCCTGTTTACAGTACGCCCACTATAACCCAACTTGTCGTCATGTTTTGACGAATTTATACCTCAAGATTGATTTTACAAGTTCCAAAGCTTGGATAACTTTCGGCTTATTGCCGATTACATATAGAGCAACGTGTTTGTTGCGAAACATAAATTGCTTGTAAACGTTGATCATGCCTGGTCAGGTGTGTCTCGGAAATTCGAGAATATACTATTTATTTATTTATTTATTTATAGAACATTTACGAGTGGGATACGTTATTGCCTAAATGCTTATTGGCCTATCGCAGTACGGTCCACTCTTCTACCGGACAAACGCCGTCGTTTATGTGGACGGGTAGAGAAGTTCGGTTGCCCTCGGATGTCCGATTACCGAGATCACAACAGGTATACCCGTGGGTTGTTGAATACGTCAGCAAACTCCTCGACTCCGTTCAACGCACACACGAAGCGGCACGCATCCATTTGGCGAACGCTCAACGGCGACAGAAGGAATACTACGACAAGAAGGTCTTCGGTGTCCCGTTGGAAGCAGGCGGCCTCGTATATTTGCATCAGGTACCGGTATCCGGAATACCAGCGAAGCTGCATCGTGAGTGGGCTGGCCCCTACGTGGTAGACCGAATAATATCTGATCTGACTTGTGTGATTAGGGACCCAAAGAACGCCGTTGGACCGCCCATGGTCGTACACTTTAATCGGCTTAAACATTTCCATATCGAATCTGAACATTCGGATGAGGAACATCACAATGAGCCACCGACAGAAGTAGCCACCGAAGTTGAAGTACCAGCTCAAGGGGGCTTTGGTGTGGCAACGGTGACGTTGCCCATATAGAAGGGGTGCGGTGTAAAGAGTGCTCGAAACTAGTTTGGCGCGTGGTTGGATTTAAATCGTTGCTCTGACGACACCTTTTCTATCTGCCTTTCAGAAAGACACTCCTGCGCCATTATAGAAGAAGGACAAAAACCTGAAGCGAACAGTTGACTGTAACTTTGCTTTCATCCCTTCCTATGTTACTGATTCTTTCTTATAGAGCCTACGTGTTGCGTAATAGAACTTACGTCTCAATCCTTGTGGTTCTCCCTTGTCTGCATTCTACCTTGGGACCGTGCTATCCGCCACTGTCGCGATTTTGAATGCGGCCTGTTGTTCATTAGGACAACCGGTTTCTGCGTTCTCAAAAAGTAAGGGTTTTATTGAGTCAACTTCTTGCGCAGCGTGTTTTTAATGAGGTCAGTACCTCCAAACATCCAAAAATTGATATGTACCATTCCCAATTTGCAAAGTTAAATAAAAGTGGAAAAGATGAAATATAACGGTGAGTTGTTAAAAGGAAAACGGAATATAGAAAATGGTTTAAGGAAGTCGCGGTATGTATTTCAACACGCATCCTACATTATTATAAACATTACTATGGGTTCAATGGCCTAAAATTTATCTCCTACCACCTACAACCGTGTGTACCGGAATCACACTGCCGAAAGAACATTATTTCCAAGTGGCGGATAGGACGCTCCGCTCAGTTTTTTTTCTGTTGTGGATAAACGTCCTTCCTCCGTGTCTGCTGGTTTTGCCCGTGTCACGCTTGCGTATTGCGATTCTGTGACTGCCGGGTTGCTGTGTGTGCTTCTCGCGTCGTGTGTCCGCCGTGATTGACTCCGTGCTGCTTTCTACCGCCGTTGATTCGTTCCGTGCCCGTTTTCTAGCTCCCGCCGGTACCCCACTCCAGGAACTTCGTTACATTTGTTGACAGAGGTGGGATTGCCATGGAGAAGGAAAAAGTCAGCCCCCAAAAATGAAATCGCAACTTCGTGTTGTTACCCAGGATTGTTCGGAGTTTCGACCTGTGCCGAGGCAACCCCCAGTTTTTCGGCCGGGGGATGATTTCGACAATTGGGAGTTTCATGTATCGTTATACCTTTCCAGTATCCCTGAAAAGAACGTGGGCCCTTATGTTCTCAGTTTTTTGAGCGAGGAAGCCACGCGTCTTTTCCGCGCAACTGGAATTACTCCAACGGCGCCAGCGTCAGAAATATGGGAATCGCTGCGCGGACTGTTTCGGAAACAAGAAGCCGCAGTTCTGTATAGACGAAAATTCGCTTCTCGTACACAACAGCCAGGAGAACCGGTCGAAGCGTTCGCGCGCACTCTTCAGGAGCTCTCCTTGAGAGCTTTTCCCGATCTCTCCAACGCCGAACGGGATAAGTGGCTGGCTGAGCGTTTTTGCACCGGGTTGCACGATAGGTCCCTACGCCACCAACTGGCCGGGATGCTGCCCTGCAGTTTCACGGATGCCATGAACAAGGCACAGTTTCACGAGTCCCTGGATTCGTGAAACTGTGCCTTGTTCATGGCATCCGTGAAACTGCAGGGCAGCATCCCGGCCAGTTGGTGGCGTAGGGACCTATCGTGCAACCCGGTGCAAAAACGCTCAGCCAGCCACTTATCCCGTTCGGCGTTGGAGAGATCGGGAAAAGCTCTCAAGGAGAGCTCCTGAAGAGTGCGCGCGAACGCTTCGACCGGTTCTCCTGGCTGTTGTGTACGAGAAGCGAATTTTCGTCTATACAGAACTGCGGCTTCTTGTTTCCGAAACAGTCCGCGCAGCGATTCCCATATTTCTGACGCTGGCGCCGTTGGAGTAATTCCAGTTGCGCGGAAAAGACGCGTGGCTTCCTCGCTCAAAAAACTGAGAACATAAGGGCCCACGTTCTTTTCAGGGATACTGGAAAGGTATAACGATACATGAAACTCCCAATTGTTGAGATCATCCCCCGGCCGAAAAACTGGGGGTTGCCTCGGCATAGGTCGAAACTCCGAACAAGCCTAGGTAACAACACGAAATTGATACAGGGAGTCAGCATCCCATTCGCCAGCGGGCGCGAAGGGTGCCCATTCATTACGAAGCTCAGCTAGATCGCATGATCCAAGAGATGCTTGATATGCGCGTTATTCGCCCATCGCCATGGCCTTGGTCGTCTCCAATCGTACTCGTGAAGAAGAATGGTTCTCTACGACTTTGTGTAGATTACCGAAAGCTAAACGAAGTCACCCGTAAAGACCCCTTCCCCCTCCCTCGCATTGACGCCACATTTGATGCTCTTCATGGTGCACGATGGTTTACTGCTCTCAATTTGGCCGCCGGGTATTGGCAAGTGGAGGTCCGTCCGTCCGATAGGGAGAAAACCGCGTTCATTGTACCATTCGGGCTGTATGAATTCGAGACCATGCCCTTCGGGTTGGCTAATGCCCCAACCACCTTCCAGCGCCTAATGCAGAAAGTATTGGAGGGCCTCGTACCCAAGGAATGTTCGATATATTTGGATGATGTCATAGTGCATGGTAAATCGGTCGAAGAGCACAATACCCGTCTACGTACAGTTTTGGAGCGGTTACGGCAGGCTGGATTAAAGCTGAAGGGACGGAAGTGCCGTTTTCTCCGCGAGCATGTTAACTTTTTGGGACACGTAACAACGCCAGATGGCATTCAAACCGACCCTGACAAGTGCGAACGGATAAGGTCGTGGCCACAACCCAGATCAGTTGATGAATTGCGTAGCTTTTTGGGACTGGCATCTTACTACCGGAGATTTGTGCGCAATTTTGCCTCGATCTCGGTGCCTTTACATCGCCTGACGGAAAAGGGACGGAAGTTTGTTTGGACGGACGAGTGTGCCAGTGCTTTCGGACGACTGAAAGAATGCCTCACGTCACCACCGCTGTTAGGTCTCCCGGATACTTCCGAACGAGCAGGGCCTTTTGTCCTAGACACCGACGCCAGTAACGAGGTGATTGGCGCTGTTTTGTCGCAGAAAAGTTCTATTGGGGAAACCGTGATCTTTTATGCTAGCCGCCGACTGGACAAGCGAGAACGTAAGTATAGCACAACGAGACGTGAGATGTTGGCTTTGGTGTATTTCTTGAAGTATTTTCGACCATATTTACTCGGAAAACCTTTCCTTGTGCGGACTGACCATCAATCTCTGCAATGGTTACAAAACTTCCGTGACCCGGAGGGACAAGTCGTGCGGTGGCAAGAAACCCTTCAAAAGTATGATTTTACCTGTGAGTACCGGCCGTGAGCACGGCATGCCAACGCAGATGCCCTTTCTAGAATTTCCGCTCCGGACGAAATAAATGCAGTCCTACACCACTCGGAAACTGATACAACGTGGTCAGATGATCAAGCCCAGGACCCATATATATCTAACATTTATATGCGGCAAGTGGAAGGATCGTCTAAACCATCGGGTACGGAAATGCAATCCCGTTCGAAAGAAGAACGCTCACTATGGGACCACTGGAGCCGATTAAGGATCATTGGTGGGACGCTGTTCCTTATGGATGACCTGGGCCCGAAAGTGATTACTCCTATATCGAGAGTGCCGGGCGTACTACAAGCAGTCCATCAGCAGTTAGGTCACGCTGGCCAACTAAAGACGGAGACAGCTATACGTCAACGGTACTGGTGGTTAGGAATACACACCGACGTCGTGAAGCTATGTAACGCCAGCGAGATCTGCGCCGCTATCACATCGAAGACACCCCTATCCCGGGCCCCGTTGGAACCGATAGTGGCCACGTCCCCAGGTCAGCGAGTCGGAGTCGATCTAATGGGGCCTCTGCCAGTCACAAGGAACGGGAACCGCCACCTTGTTCTTATAGATTATTTTACGAAATGGTGGGAGGCCATACCTATCAAAAATCCGGATGCGGCAACGGTTGCGTCAGCCATCGTAAATGTGTGGATTGCCCGCTATGGAGCACCGCTGTCACTGCATTCAGATCAAGGCGCCGTCTTCGAGTCACCTGCTTCAGGAAGTGTCGGCTGCTCTCGGTGAGGAAGACACGTACCACATGGTATCATCCACAAGGGAATAGATTAGTAGAGCGCACCAACCGAACCATAAAAGGGATTTTGCAGAGCTTCCTGGTGCGGCACCAGTCAGATCGATGGGACGAAGCGATTCCACAATGCATGATGGCGTATCGAGCGTCTGTGCATGCAACCACGGGGTACTCTCCAGCCTTCCTGACGTTTGGTCACGAGCTTCGTTTGCCTCTGGAGCTGATATCCCCTATTCCCCCAATCGAGGCTTGTTCTCTCTTAGACTACGTACGATAGCTTGGCGAACGTCTTCGAGCAGCCTTTCTGTGTGCGGGAGAACATGCAAGGATAGCACAGCATCGTCAGAAAGTATGTTATGATCGGCACAGTAGGGGCCCTGAATATCACATTGGAGATCGCGTATGGTTGCACCGCCCGAGACCTCCGCCTGGCGCAGCAGCGAAATTTCACCGACAGTGGCAAGGGCCATACGAGATTGTGTTCGTCCGTTCACCCACGGTGTATGTCGTACGAGATGTCGCTCAACCAAATTCCGACGTTCTGACCGTGCATTACAATCAGCCGAAACCAGCGGGATCTTCAGTCTCTGCTCCGAAGGAGGAAGTCTTTCCACCCGGATGCCTCCCGATCGTGGAACACACTGTGGAGATACCCCCCGAAGGCGGCTCGGCGAGTATTCAGGGCACTGAGACACTAAGGACAGTGTCTTCGCCGGGAGGGGGAGTGGTGTAACGAAATCGATACCGCCGTGGGTCGTTTTAAAGACTACCTAAATGATTTCTTTCTTTTCTCTTTCATTTGCAGATTCTCGAGAAGCCACAGATATATGAAAACGTGCGAAGGCACTTTACCGACCCAAAACTCTGACATCCCCTTTTTGTTTTGATTGTCTTATCAAGGTCCTGTACACCTCTGCTTTTTTCCTGTTGTGGATAAACGTGCTTCCTCCGTGTCTGCTCGTTTTGCCCGTGTCACGCTTGCGTATTGCGATTCTGTGAGTGCCGGGTTGCTGTGTGTGCTTCTCGCGTCGTGTGTCTGCTGTGATTGACTCCGTGCTGCTTTCTACCGCCGTTGATTCGTTCCTTGCCCGTTTTCTGGCTCCTGCCGGTACCCCACTCCAGGAACTTCGTTACATAACAGACCTACCGGCCAATTACAGGCTTGTCAGCTTGACTAGCGTGGTCGTTAAATTGCTTGAAAAATTAGTACGAGATGCAGTGGAGAACCATTTAAATAGCTTTAACCTGTTTTGCGTCGAGCAATATGGTTTTCGCAAGGGATTTTCGTGTCAGACGTACTTGTTGGTAGCTCGTGAGAGCGGGGCTGAAGCCGTAGACAGTGGACATGCTGTGTTCATTGACTTCACCAAGGCCTTTGACGCTGTCCCCCATTCGCGACTCTCACTGAAGTTGAGGTCGTATGGAATAGCTGGTCGCGCCCTCCAGTGGGTGTCAGCTTTTCTGGATGGACGCGAACAGTGTATTCGCGTGGGAAGCAGTCTTTCGTTTCGACAAGCTGTACTTAGTGTCGTTCCGCAAGGCTCTGTCCTAGGTCCGCTGCTTTTTTTCTATCTACGTGAAGGACTTGCCATAGGAGCTTGAGGTACCATCGCTCTTATTTGCTGATGACCTGAAGCTCTGGAATATTGTTGATATCCCTGGAGGTCCTGTGGCTCTTCAACGGTCTCTGGATAGACTCTGGGAATAGTCTGTCTTGTGGTTGCTGCCCCCAAACCGGGCAAAGTGTTCAGTGCTGCGTGTCGGAGCGTCTGCTTCCTCCACAAATTATGTGCTCGATGGGAGTGAACTTCCTCACGTGACTCATCAGGTTGATCTAGGTGTCGTCCACTGTTCCACACTACACTGGCGACAACTGGAAGAAGGCGGCTAGTAAAGGGTTCCGGATGTTGTGGTTTATCCTTTGTTCTTTTGGGACCCTAACCGCTGATGTGTTTGTGAAGCTTTTCTCAGCGTTTGTGCGACCCCACCTAGAATATTGCGTCCAGGCCTGTCCACCATGCTTTGTCCGCGACAAAAAGGCACTAGAAAGGGTGTTGCGTGTCGGTACTAAGTTGGTCAAGGGATTACGGGGGCAAACGTACCCCGAAGGCCTACTTAGTTTGGGGATGCAGTCAATGCACTATCGACGGATTAGAGGGGACCCAATCCTAGCCTACCGTATTTTGACTGGGAAGTTTGGCCCTGATTTGTCTATGCTATTTAGTCCTGCTAGATTATCTGGTCTTCGCGGGCATTGTATGAAGCTGGACAAACCGCGGTCCGATCGAATTAGGGCGGAGACACGTTTTTCGCGTTGAGTCATCGAGCGCTGGAACCTGCTTCCAGAACATGTTGTCAAGGAATCTATGGTTAAGGGGTTTGAGCGTCAACTAGACGCTCTTGGGTGGCAACACGAAACTTTTCCTTTTTCCTGACTAATTTCCATCTTCATACTTCGATTTTGTTTTCTGTACTTTTCCTCGCCATTGGTATTATTCTCTTCTTTTAACTGATTTCCCCTACTCTCTTACCTTCGCTTTTTCTTCCTCTCTTACTTCACGTAACTGACATAGCTGGGACTGCTAATGTAAGGAACGTGGGCATTAAATTGGTGGACCAGGGTGTTTTTGGGTGTTTTCCTTTTAGACCCATCAAGAAGTCGGAGCACCCCTATCAACTCCTGGATCGACGACCCGCTCAAGAAGGAACACTTACGGGATTCATCCTATCGTTCCAGTCCCACTTGAACTTGAACTTGAATCCTCTCAGCATGTCCGCCGGGCAGTCTGTACCGAAGCAACGCAGCCAGCAAACTATTTCTTCGTCGTCCGTGAATGCAGCGATCCGATAATACTTCGGTGGATTATCGTTAGACGATCGTTCTGGCATTTCAATGTCACTTGAGAAGTGCGACTGCACAGCCACTGTCCTCACGGTGCAAGTGCTGAAAGACAAAATCACACCTCGACCTTAGCTGCATCTTCCACAAACTTGACGCGGTAACTCACTTTTTGCGCGCTATATTTTCTTTAAAACCATGCGCCATTTTACTCCCGTTTTACACCCGGTTTTACCTTTTTATTGCGGTCATTTTGCGGTTGTCTACATGTTTTGATTTCTTTTTTGTTTCCACTCTAAACATTCATCTCGCAAAATACCGAGGCGGATAAACCCGTTGTGTCCTCCATTGATGAGTCAAATGCAGCTTGCGGCAAGTCTACCTGTCCATGGCCAGTTATTGATTCACCTGGTGATATACAGTGTGACGATTCCTCCCGCTGGTATCATGAAAGTTGTACCCGCTTCCGAGCGGACCAGCACAAGATGCTATTATCCAGTAATAACTTTCATTTTAAATGTAATTAATGCTGAGCTCAGAATCCGATGCGCCCGGCTTTCACCTGTCCTGAATTTAAAGCACTAACATCCAACTTCGCAGATGTTGAGGAGGCATTAGACGAGCTTGCCTCTGTAGCCTCACTCAACATTAGACTCTATGGGATTATGAAGTCTCAGGTGCACCTAAAGGCATTGTTGACCCATGTGCCAAACAAAAATAAGCGTAAGAGGGCAAGGAAAGCACGCAAACCCTCCGCCCCCAAACCGGAAGGTGACAAAACGCTTAAGGCAAAAGCCTGGAAACACCACCTGGTGCTGAAATTCACTCAGTGACACGTGAGGTCCCCTCGCCTTCGGTCCCACCGATTTCTGTCAAACAACAATGTGGCGTAGATGGTAGAGCATGTGGAGCAAATACACGTCGTCGGGACGATTCTTACACAGATAGCAGTGTGATTTTCAGAAACGTCACTGAATCCACTGCCGCTCTTTCCACCAAGCGCATACTTGATGACCTCGGTTAGTCTGAAGTTTGCGCGACTGGGCTTTTACCACCAGGTTTTCCTGGCGTTACTGTCAAGGCTCATCAGCATGGGGGATGTTCCGATTAGTAAACCAAATCCTCGACCTCATCTGCTTAGGGTAGTTTTCTCCACCACATATGAGCTCAGAACGTTACTGCGATTTGCCTTCAAGATCAAAGATAGCAACGTTAGTGTTCAATCAGACCTTCCGTTACCGGATTGCTTAGTGTTCCAGGAAGCCATCAGAGACCCAAAAGCCTAGCGTGCAGCTGGAGGGTCTCCGTTTGGCGGGTTTCTCAGGTGGTCAGCCGACTGTCATTTTCCGCCGTGAAAGAACCTACCCTATCTACAGACGACCCAGGACAAGTCGTGATATTTTTGAATTGCTTGGATAGATACACAGGAATGTGTACGCCCAACATGTTGTCCTTCCGAGGAGAAATCATACTGGGACTACACCTTCTACTTTAGATGCCGTGATCACTAGGCATGACCATGTAACAAAGATGCATGCAGAGGCCCTCTTAGGTAGGAGCAACCACTGTGCTCTTACCTTTTCGGTGAAAACGAAGAAGGTACAATCGAAACCTCGACTTGTGAGAAAGTTTACCCCAATCGACATTAGTCATTTACGGAACATGGCACTCCAGTCCTCCAGGGTTCCAACTCAAGAAAAGGTCACGTTAGAACAAAGTCGGGACAAGATTAACTCTGGCCTCGTGCCACAGGTGCAACAGTTCGGTCCATTGCGCCCGGATAGAGAGGGAAATGAGACCCCCCTTATGATTCGGTGTAACGCTTGGCGGAAATGGTTGCAGGAATCTGGGGGCTTCAGACAATGGATAGTATATAACCTATCTCGAAAAAGAGCAATCAAATTTAAATTCAGGTGGGACTACTATAGGAAGAATCCCGTAAGGGTGCTTTCTTGAGCGGGTCGTGTCGATCTAGGAGCTGATAGGGGGTGTTCCGATTTCTTGATGGAACAAAAACGAAAAAACCCGATTCACACCATGGTCCTCCAATTTAATGCCCACGTTCCCTGCATTGGTAATCCCTGTTATGCCAGTTACGTAAAGTAAGCCACAGAGGAAGGGAAACCGAATGTAGAGTAATGAAAGAAAAGGATAATACTAATGGTGAGGGAAAGTACAGAAAATAGAATCGAAATATGAAGATGGGAGTTAA